GTTTGGTGGCTTAAATCCCCCCCCCCCCCCACCCCCCACATAGCCGGCGTCACCGCTGAAATGGAACAAACGCGTCTTGGTCCCATATTGTGGGGGCGAGGCCGGACCACATTCAGTTCATAACCCCACACTACCGCAGTACCCACCTAAGCGTTTGCCACCCACAAAGAGCCCGCCACGGCGTTTCCGCTTGCACAAGGGCTAGAACCAAACATGAGCTTACATACTCTGAAGCAGCTATCACGAAGCAACAACGCCGTATCGAATTGTGTCCCGCTTCGGAAGTGGTGGAACGGACGTCAGCTGACTCGCCGCTGGCTGCTTGCTTCCACTGCTGGCGGCAATAGACCCCCCCACATATACAACAAAGCCTAGCACAAGCCCCCCGCCGCTAACGTCGGATACCACTGCTAGTTGCCTTAAGATTTATGTCCACAAAAACGGCACTTTGTCGCTATTGCCTAGTCATTGGATACGGCACATAAGAGAGTATGTCGGAGTGGGGGGGGGAGGCAAATGCGCGTGGTCTGTTTTGGGAGATGGGGGACTTTGAGGAGGGAGGGAGGGTGCAAGGGCACATAACGCGCCGACCCGATTGCCCAGCGTCCAGGGGAAATGGTTATGTTTTGGGACAAAACACAGGGCGACACGGCAACCGTGTGTGCCCGGGGACCCAAACACACGGTTGTTGTTGACGACACCACGTAGCTGCGAAGCGTGCATCCGGCAATGCCATGAGTCTAAGGGATGAGGTGGCCAGTCTTCGTAGAGCAATACCGCTAAAGCGAGACCATTGTCTAGACTGTAGACCGTGTTAGGTATTGTCTAGACTGTAGACTGTGTTAGGTATTATCTGGAATATCTGGAATGTGTAGGCTGTGTAGACTGTGTGGGATTGTTGAGTCAGAAGAGGCAATCAGTAGAGTTCCTAAAGCCTATTTGGCTTAGCCCGATATCACCATAATGCCGTCGAATGCCTGCCTTGAGGCGACACCGCAAAGACGACATTTGAGAGAAAAAACAGCGCCGCGAAATCGAAAACTGTAAAAATAGACCGGGACCCCGAGCGGGTGCGGCACCGGGGGCCAAGACCAGAACAACAGTAGGAGAAACGCCCACGGCACAGGGCATACGCTTTGCGTTAAGTGCTAGAACCAAACATAGCTTATTGATAACAAGCACGTAGACAGCAACAACGTACCAGCGCCATGACGACACGACGGCCACGACAACAAAGAATCGGCCACGATAGACGACTTGCCTGATGCTACATTTGTCGATGCTCTATTATCGGTTGCCACCGTCTACCATGTAGCACCCCACACGGATGACCTGACACGAGAGCAATTAACGGGAGAGACGCCAAAGCAAGGCAATCCGGTGGCACGCGTCGTCGGGTGTGTTTGGTGTCACGAGCGTGTTTCAACTCTCGCTTGATACGACAGTGGCAAACGCCGCGGGGGTCATGCTCTCGGGCTCTGAGCGACTCCGAGGCTCCTAGGCTTTTCTGCTACCTCTGCTACTTCTGCTACTGTACCATTACCGATGGTGCCGCCAGCTTTTTTTTTTGGTAAGCGTCTTGTTTTTTTTTCCCGACCCACTTTTGGTTCAGACACGACCACCCGCGGACACTAATACTGTACAACCCGCTATCCGCACATAGCGGCGTGCACACGCCACCCGCGCCCGGTACCACAACCGCATGAATAGGAGGCACACACCCGAACAACACCCCCCCTCGAAGCAGACAAATATAGACTCCCCAAAAATAGGTTTTGGCAGGAATTAGACACTGACATGTTAGAGGTCGTGTTTCAGATTTTGATAACTGTGATAATAATAGCAGTGATCGTTACTACGGCATTTTTCGCCGTGCCGGTATTGTTTTCCGTGTGAGGCTTGGAATTATCCTTTCGTCACACTATTTTTTTGTTTTTTGTATATTTCTGTTGCCAGGATCGGCCTCCCCAGGCAGCGCACGCGTGGCCGTCTGTGCACACACATGAAACACGCAAGACGTTGGTGCGGCTCAGCACGCCAACCGGCGAAAATAATGTCCCTCGTAGAAGTACTGATCAGAAGACAATTGGAAGAAAAGGGAATAAAATGGAGACAAATAATACAATAAAACAAACACTTCCATTTAAACTAATTAAAGCCTTTATCGTAGTCATCATTGTTTGGCTGGTATTTTTATCCCTGAACCTATGGGCGATGCCGTCTTAGTTCGTCGCCATCAGCAGTGTGCAACCATGCAATGTACGGTGGCCTAAACATGTGCATCTCGCACCCAAACCGGGGGGTTGAAGAATGATGATGTTGATACGCAGCCCTGGTCATGGTAGCGTACGGTATCTCGCACTTTGGCCTCAAAAAAAAGTACACCTACCAAAAGAGTGCCCGCCGACACCCGCAATCGAGGCGAAGGAGCACACACTGACTATGCTACCCCCACCCCCGCCCCCAACACTCCTAAAAGAAAAAAACCAGAAAAAAAAAAATGCTCTTCTCGCCCGAGGGCTATGGCTGAGACAATGACCTCAGCATTCCGTTGTCCACGCGACCCACACCCGCCAGTTACGAGACCCTTGTAGCCAAACCTGGTAACCACACACCTGATGGACTAGACTGCTCTATTGCTCTGTTTAATATTCGATACTAGTTTGTTTCAATTGCTAGACTATTATTGGTTAGTATTTCATTGAGCTGAGTGTCACTGGTGCCTCTCAATTTATCCCGATTGGGGATCACTGGTGGGTGCGTCATACGTCACCTAATTCCACCGCCGGCTCCGCAGCCTACCTTATTGTGAGGCCACAGCGTTTGCGGGCGGCACCGCAGCGCAGCGCCAACAGCCTAGCCCACTGACCAGACAATTGACATCAGCATCCAATATTCTACAATTTCTACAACTAACAGCTCTGAAACGTTCACTGAAACAAACCAAAAAGGGGTACCCATCAATCAAAGGCAAAACGTTATATACCGTAATCTTCTTCTGCTAGCACTCCTGCTCGCCCTTCGTCTGTCCGGTGCAGGTAGCGACGAGATGGAATGGATCGGAATGCGCCAGCCCCACATACGCCCCGGAACCAGAGACAGACAGGGGTGAAAACACCAAGGAGACCATTATCCGAGCGCTGTTATTAAATGTAACCAAGTAGTGTTTATTAGGTTTTAGTTGTTATGGTGTTTATCGGGTGTGATCACGGGCGCTGGTCGGTGGTGGGCGCCGGGAGTGGGCATCGCTGTCGTCGGGTCGCAGGGAATATTTTTCGCGGGATACGTTTAAGATTAATCCCGCGTGCATGGTCGTATATTTTATCATCGGGCGCCGGCTCCAGTGCCCCCTATGCCTGAGGCCACCGCCAGGCAACCTGCTGAGGCAAGCGATGGAAGCGACCCCACCTATATAACCACCCAGCCCGCCACCACCGATACCATCCAATCCCTACCGGTTTACCTCTTCCATCCAAGGCTTTACTCACAGGCTTCCCTTACAGGCTCCTCCTATCCCTACAGGCTCCTACCTTCCGTCAGTCCCTAGCCTCTACCAAGTGTTGGTCGCCTACTAGCCTACTCGCACACAAAGCCCAAACCCAGTATGGACGTCGTCGACCTCTACCTACCGCTTGCGTGGCTGATGTTGCGGCTGCCCCTCCCACACACCACCCCAGAGGCGCTGGTGTTCGTGCGCCAGCTCGTCCACCACTCGCAATTGCTGGCGGTCAACTTGGTCATCTCGTTATACTACTTGTACAAGTTGGGCGGCGCCAAGGTTGACCACGACCCGCTGACCCACGCCTATCTTGTGGTGGTGTCGTTGATCTTGCTGAACAAAGTGTACGACGACCAGTGCTACACGCTCAAGACGTGGCACAACATCGTCAACAACTGCCACACCGCCCCGGTGGTGCTTGACCTTGACCTTTTGAATGCCATCGAACACCATGTGCTCTCGGCGCTCGACTACGACTTGGGGTTCCACAAAATGCCCCACGACTACGACTTCTGGCACGCGTGCTATGCTACCGCGGCGCCTCAAGTGGTAGCGAAATTGAGAGGGTTGGTGGTGCTGGAACCAGCGCCGCCAGTCGCGGTTGCCCCAGCGCCAATTACGCCGCCGTTATTGTCGCCGTTGGCCCCCATGGTGGTCCCTCCCTCAGTGCCGGTGTCCGAATTGTCGTGCTACGGCGCCGCCCCGCGCCTGGTG